TATCTCTCTATCTCTCTATCTCTCTATCTCTCTATCTCTTTATCTCTCTATCTCTCTATCCCTCTATCTCTCTATCTCTCTATCTCTCTATCTCTCTATCTCTCTATCTCTCTATCTCTCTATCTCTTTATCTCTCTATCTCTCTATCTCTCTATCTCTCCATCTCTCTATCTCTCTATCTCTCTATCTCTCTATCTCTCTATCTCTCTATCTCTCTATCTCTCTATCTCTCTATCTCTCTATCTCTTTATCTCTCTATCTCTCTATCTCTCTATCTCTTTATCTCTCTATCTCTTTATCTCTCTATCTCTCTATCTCTCTATCTCCTTATCTTTCTGTCTCTCTATCTTTCTGTCTCTTTATTTCTGTGTCTCTCTATCTCTTTATCTCTCTATTTCTTATCTCTCTATTTTTTTATCTGTCTATCTCTTTATCTCTTTATCCCTCTGTCTCTCTATCTCTCTGTCTTTCTATCTCTTTATCTTTTTATTTCTTTATCTTTCTATTTCTCTATCTCTCTATCTCTCTATCTCTCTATTTCTCTATTTCTCTATCATTCTATCTCTCTCTCTCTCTCTCTCTCTCTCTCTTTCTCTTTCTCTTTTTCTTTCTCTTTCTCTCTCTATCTTTCTGTCTGTGTCTCTGAGAGGCAGGGCGAGGGTCCTTGTCGATGCCTCTGAGGCGCCGCCTGCGGAAGGAACTCTCTGTCTTTTTCTGAGAGAGAGAGAGAGAGAGAGAGAGAGAGAGACAGCGCCACAGCAGCAGCAGCAGCAGCAGCAGCAGCAGCAGCAGCAGCAGCAGCAGCAGCAGCAGCAGCAGCAGCAGCAGCAGCAGCAGCAGCAGCAGCAGTAGCAACAACAGAAGCCAACGCCAGCAGCAGCGCAACAAACTGATTGGGCAGACCCCCTCACAAGCACAAGCCGCCGAGGAACCCACCCCCTCCAAAAGGAGGGGTGCCGGCCCTAGCCATACCACTGCCCCGCACGCTGGCCAAGGAGGAACTCCCCCCCATGCAAACAGAAATCGATCAGTTTCCCACAACCCCGTGTGAGAGGACCTGCGTGGAAGAGCACACGAGGAAATGAAAGAAGGGAAGCGTTGCTGACATTATTGCATTTTGCTCCTTGCCCTTCCCAAGCCTGTTCTGCTTTTTCCCCGAGAAACTTCCCGTCTGAAAGTTGGCGCGAGTCTTTCTCAGCAGTGTTTGTGTGATGTTGACGTTGGTCTTGTCCGTCTTTTTCACAGCCTGGCTGCATTGTCGTTTGTCAGTGTGGTGAGGCCCTTCACGCCTGCCACGCCCTCCTGTGGCCTCACTGAGCTCCTTGGATCTGGTGGATTTGGTCGATTCGGTTCCATATTTTTTGGGCGGGGGGGAGGGAGGAATTTGTGGGAGGAGAGCTGAGAGTGGAAGAAGGGAAGGTCCGTTTTGTCAAAATGAAAAGGCTCTCTAAGCTCTCTGTTTGCTTGAGAGGGCATTTTTCATGTCAGCAACAGATTGAGGAAGCTGCGGGACTACGGGGTCGAGCAGCCCGAGGAGATGTCGAATCGAAGAAAGAAAGAGAGAGAAGAGAGAGAAGAGAGAGAAGAGAGAGAAGAGAGAGAAGAGAGAGAAGAGAGAGAAGAGAGAGAAGAGAGAGAAGAGAGAGAAGAGAGAGAAGAGAGAGAAGAGAGAGAAGAGAGAGAAGAGAGAGAAGAGAGAGAAGAGAGCCTCTGCTTTGGCGCGCTCTGTTTGAACTGTGTTTGCGCTGTGTTTGCGCTTTAAGTGCTCTGCTCTCTCAACTCTAACGCTCTCTAACGCTCGCGCTCTCTCGCTCTCCGCTTTCCTTCTTCACGCTCCGCGTTTTCGCTCTGCCTCGCCCTCTGTTGGCGCGCTCTCTCTCTCTCTCTCTCTCTCTCTCTCTCTCTCTCCCTCTCCCTCTCCCTTTGTTTCTCTTTTTTCTTTCTTTCTCTGAAGTTCTCTGCTCTCTCACGTTCTCCCCCCCGTTTTCTTGCTTTGTCTCGGAGCTCTCTCTGTCAGCGAGGACGACCACGTGGCGGTGATGAGGAGAGCAAGACGGAGAGTGCATTCTTCGTGTGTTTTTTGTTTCCGTGTTTAATCGCCTCTTAGAAGATGCCTCTTTGGAATCACCTGGCTTTCGCATTCGAGCTTTTCCAAAACCTAACCTTCACAGCATCTACGCCCCTTCACAGCAAGCCCTAAGCCCTAAGCCCTAAGCCCTAAGCCCTAAGCCCTAAGCCCTAAGCCCTAAGCCCTAAACCCTAAACCCTAAACCCTAAACCCTAAACCCTATACGGGGGGGCAACCGAAGGGGAAAAGGGAAAGGAATCAACCCTTAACAGCTGCCTATATGGATTCCCCAGAACGAACCAAAAGAGAAAACCACCTAAGTCCAGAACCACCAAGAGGGAAGGGGATGCTCCTAAACCCCGAACCCAGGCGCTCTAACTTTTTAACTGCAAGCGGACGGATCCAGGCCATCCTTGAGCCAAACATGTTTGCGGGTATTTTACCCTTCCAACCTTTACAAGGCAACCTCCGCACTCCCCCTGTCCTGAGGTTCCCTCAGGACACCTTTGGAGGTGCAGATTACCTTCCATTCTGGCCAAAAGCTGTTCTTTCACAGCAGCCAACCATATGTTTAACGTCCATTAGACGGGCCGTAGCCATTGGCTTGCAAACCATGGTTTTACGTCATCCAGGACGAATGAATTAAGGAAAAACACCGTTCCTAAAGACTCTCCGGTCTTTTTCACCACGAACACGGTCTTCAAATCCTTAAGGGCTGTACACTCTCTACCATCAGGGATTTCCATACCCTTAATGGCAAACCCTACCCCTTTTTGCTCGACGCATTGGTCTTTCCTCCAACCATTCTGCAAATTGTCACCAAATCCAGGAAAAGGAACCATCTTTTTGCATGTCCCATCTTTGAAAACCAGTCGCTTCTTCGCCTCCCGACCAGCTTCGCAGATTCGATGTAGTTGCACCAAGATGCTTTCAAGATCCTGCACTTGTACCAACGGATCAATCAAACATCGTTGAATGGAGGATACCAATCCTTCTCGCCGCGCTTCTTCTATCGCTTTGCACGATGTGGTCACCTGTGGCGTAACGGTAACCGGCTCTGAGGCAGCGGGAACTGAGGCTTGTCCCTTCTTCACGGACTCTCCTCCCTCATCTGGTGCTACATCCCTTTTCTTGGGACTTGATGCCTTCTCCTTCTTTTGTAACCGACTTGCAGAACCGCCAGGTTTTGACCGCGCCCGATGAGAAGATTTTTCTGCCTTGGGAATAGAAGATTTTCCGCCTTGGGAATAGAAGATTTTTCCGCCTTGGGAATTGCCACCTTTTTGCTGGCAAATTCACCTCCGCACGATCCGCATTGATTGGCCTCTTCTTTGGCCTTGGGGCCAACACCGTATATGGATCACGCGTGGCAGCAAGCTTCCTCTTCTTCTTGCTCTTCTCCGGCTTCTCCTCCACTTCAACGATCACTTCTGTGACCTCTGGTACCACCTCCTCCGCTGAAGGCTCGTCAGCTGACTCTTCCTCCAAAGGTCTTTTTGTCCCACCATTGGGGTCGCCTCCACCTTCCAGCTGAGCTTTTTCGTACCAGATCCTTAGATCATTCACGCACTCTTCAACCTCTGCCAGCGGAATATCACAGGATCTAACCACCTCATACAATTCCAGCGTAGATAACATCTTGTCTGTCCACGAAAGCCACTCCTCGTTTTTCTGATCTTCATCAGTTATCCTCAAAAGCTTGAAAATTGGCTCTCCTTCCCAGCGGTCGATGTCGTCCCTCCCACCAGACATGTATGACACCGCTTCAGCAATAAGGTTGCTCTTTTCTGTCTCTTCATCATACTCCATTACTCCCTCTAGATCCTCTCTTCTTTCAGGAGAAAATCTCCTTTCACCGTCGCCCTTCTTGGGACGATCCCTTGGCGGTGTAGCAGGCGACCTTGGCCTTTCATGCTCAAATACGCATTGATTGCCTCGCTTGCATTTTCCAGCTTGAAAAAGCGGAATACATCTCACTCCAGCTGTATCGTGTGAGAACCTGCACTCTTTTTCAGCATGACACCCACGTCCATCCACATAGTACTTGCACCAATACGAAGCTAACGCCACATCCTCATTGGAATGAATAAATTTGCAGTTCTCACCAAACTTGCAGCGATCGTTCCCTTTTCTAAGCCAATAGCAGATACCTTGTCTCCTTCTTGACAAACGTTCTGCTTCTAGGCGGTCCATCAAACGATCCCGCACTACATGGACATTGCCATGACCTGGAGAACTACCTTTTTCACCCAAGGTGCGAGTTGTGGATGATTCAGTGGAACTTCCCGGA